AGAGAATTTTAAGGTATTTGGATTTTCAAATCCAGAGAAGTGATACATTGCAGAAAGAAGATAAGAAGGAAGAAGAGAAGAAAGAGGATGAAAAGAAGGAGGAAAAGAAGGAGGATGAAAAGAAGGAAGAGGAAAAGAAATGAAATACTACCGCATTTGGAGGGGAAGGGTTACGCACGCAAATTACCAGGGGCATTATAATTCATACAAAATTTCATTATCCCTGAGGATTTCCAAAACCTTTAATTCTAATTAGGAAGTGATTTCCGACCTCACACAACTTTCTACAGCGTTCTTTTTTTGATCTCAGGAAGGCATTTTTCTTCTCAGCGAAACCTTTCCTTCTTTTTTCCAATTGAAAATATACCGTCTACACACCTGAATTGTTTGATGGATTATGGATCATGGATCAGGGATCACTAGCAGCAACAACAGCAAGCAGCGATACCTGCTAGGACCGTTGAATCTCACTCGCGCAGCAACTAACCGTTTTGAAATAAACAGTATCATTATTGCACCACGTAATCACTGTGTATTATTACTCATTTCATCGCATCTCCTCATGCGTCCGTCTACTTCTGAAACAGCATTTTCTGACTCTGATTTCGTGGATTCCATACACATGCATAGTGCATGCAATTACAGCATGCATTCGGTAGTACTCTGTGCATACAGTCGATGCAGTGACAGATTGTATCACATCAGGTTAGTATCATATGGAACAATCCAATAAAGGTAGCAAGGGCAAACCACCGACAACTTTCAGGAGCAGGATACTTAAAGAAAAGAAGATTAGCAAAGAAAGGAGGGAAATAAAGTTGAGAATGTGCAGTTTGTAAATGTCATCAAAATGGTGATGGAAAGAGCTTCCGAGCTCTTGGGCTTCCAAACCCAGATTTCACAGGCACTTTTATTTTAGGACATCCCATCTTTCTCGTTAATAACTTGCCGGAATAGTTATGCTCCGAAGGACCTGAAAGGAGGAGATATTCTTTAAAGCTGAATGACCTGAACGAGCAACACCTTGACCACTATGTTGGTTTAATAAGATAATTGGTAGCTGGTGACATCATGGAAATCTTTTTTTCAGAAAATTTATGAAGGACTGTATGTAATATGCACTTAAGAGAGTAGGGCAAGAATACTGCGTGACCGGACAATTCTGATGATGAATCTTTTATTACAATCCTTTACTATCCGCATGTATGTAAACTGCCGAAAAATGATTCCAGAACCAAATTCTATCACACCTAACTCACAAACCGGAATTTGGAAAGCTTCAAGCTTGAAGAGAATTCCCCATTAGGAGGGAAATGTCAATCACTGCAATTATCATTTGAAAAATGCAGTATTGTCTCCATCTCTCTTAACTACAAACGCGTCGTATTAAACTCATTTTTAACAAAATAGCTCCAATGGTCCAATGAGTTCTGAATGGAATGCGCGAAATTTACAAATTTAAAATTCTAATCCGCTGCAAAGAACTGGGCAAAACGAATGAAGGGTGATTGTCGCATGATGTGGGTTGGGAGTTGGGGGACGGAGATGAGGGTTGAGTTTATTGGTAGTATGAGGGACATTTGAGCATGGGTAACTTAAAAGGATTTCATATGTGTTTGGTGGTATTTCAGGTTTTCGAAAAAATAAACTAGTGATTGTATCGGTTGGTTTGTGATCATGTCCCAACATTCAGATTATTCTCGAGCAGCTCGTTCTCAAGGTTATTCCCAGCTCTATACTTCGAATTGAACAGTAGTTTCCAAATGATTGAAAGAAAGGAATGCATCAGGTTTACATCACTGTTGGTGTGTATCATTATGTCATTTGAATTTTATACAGGCGAAGATGATTATCAGTCAGAAAATATTCCTGCTGATGTTTCTGGAGAAAATGATGATCTAGCCGCAGATGGCGACGATAACGCTTTAGCCGAATTGTTTGGTGTTGAAGACGAAGAATTACAAGACGAGGAAGAAGGAGAAAACCTTTTTGGTGACGATATGGAACGGTAAATATATGACCTTCTTGGATTTCTATAGGACTTCTATGCAGTAAACTTTTGGTTGAAACTTCTAAATCTTTTTTCAAAAGGTTAGTTCAAGTAAATTGCGTGTTTTTTTTTCCAGAGATTATCGTCCACAGCCAGAGCTGGATGTTTACTCACAATCGGGCATGGACGATGAATCAGAATATACGGAATTGACGGAGGGAGCACGTCGTGCAGCTGAACGCGAGATGGATGAGCGGGATAATTTGCTGGATGAAGATGCTCTACTCTACGAGCAGGTATGTCAAGTAGTTACAGTATATTCCGACTTGCCTTAATGTAAGCCTAACAATGTATTTCTCTCTTTTCCTGAAGACGAATCACTGTATATGTTTCTTTGCACTGAAATAATGCTTCAAATTTTAATCCTTCTGTAATAATTTATGATGCATTTGAATTCATGCGGTTAGCGATATTTGAAATGTTGCAAATCTAATTCAAAATACAGATATCAAATAGTGGAAAGCAACTTTCAAAATTTTCGGTATCTTCTAAGAATTGATTAATCTTTCCATTATTCTGGTGTTTTGAAACAGTTTGTTCTTGTGACAGTGTTATTTATGTGTTCTGACACTTGTTCATTGCATCACAAAGTTTAAAGTCTACAGGATGATGCAGATGTAGGACGGCGTGTCCGCCGCTATTTCCGAAAAAATCGAACTGATGATAACGAAATGGAAATCGAAGAGGACGAAGAAATTCCTATCGATATTTTAGAAAATTTCCGAGGGAGGTCGACACGCGAACACGTTTCAGATGAAGCGGTGGGACGAGAAATAGTCAGACGGTTAGTAATCCGAATCGTTCATAATTTTATTCTGAATCTTTGAATCATCATTAGTAAACCACATGTAAATTACAGTTTATATGTCATGAATTTTGTCCATATTTCGAAAATCCAGATGAAATCATGGTATTCCTTAAATAGCAGTGTTATTACATATCAAATCTGATATAATCCTTGACTGATTATGGGATACAACTTGCTTTGCAGCTTTAAAAGCTTTGTTCGTGGATATAAGGACGCGAAGACCAAGAAACTAAAGTATTTAGAGGCGATAAAATTGATGGTGGCAGAAAATCGTGAGTCACTAGAGATTGATTATGAAGACTTGGCAAGTGAAAATGGCGAACAGAATATTTGCTACTTCTTGCCAGAGGCACCTGTACAAGTATGTGTTGAAATTCTAGAAAAATGCATATTTAATTTTAATATAGCATTTTCCAACAATTAGTTGGAATGAAATTGCCTTTTTGTGCGTTCTTTCGCTTAACAGTTTACTGTTGATTCACTGACATCAAATTTTTAAATTTTATAGGTGCTGAATTATCTTGATCGTGGAGTGACCGAGGTTACACTTTCGTTATTTCCGTTCTTTCCTCGTATTGCTCCGGAAGTCAAGGTACACTACTTGTTTTGTTATTCTGATATGTTACAAGCAAAAAGATTTATTTTTCAAATTTCTTTATTAATTTGAATTTTATTATAAATATTAAAGGTACGTATACGGGGACTTCCTGTTGAAGAGGATATACGAATGTTACGTCAGTTGCATCTGAATATGTTGGTCAGAACATCTGGTGTTGTAACAGTTACAACAGGTTTGCTAATGCCAAGCAACTACCAATTTCGAATTAGCTTACTTCTGACTTGAGTTTGTAATCGAATTCCCATCGAATATTGCTTCCAGTTGTGTACAGTTACATTAATGATTTTCTATTTGGTACAGGAATACTACCACGGTTGTCTGTTGTAAAATTTGACTGCGGTGCATGCGGTTATCTTCTCGGTCCATTTGTGCAACATCATGATGAAGAAGTGAAACCTACAATGTGTCCGTCTTGTCAAAGTCGTGGGCCATTTGAGTTAAATATGGAGAATACCATTTACCATAATTATCAACGAATAACTATCCAAGAAAGTCCGAACAGTGTTGCTGCAGGAAGACTGCCTAGAAGCAAAGATGTGGTGCTTACAGCTGATTTGTGTGATGCATGCAAACCGGGTGATGAAGTCGTAAGTTTAGGCATCCTTAATTATTTCATGTCTACCTAGTGGATGAACGAAACTAGTTTACGTATGCTCGGCATATATGTTACTGTAACATGGGAGCGTAATAGTGATGTCTGGGAGATTTTGGTGACTTCATCCTTAATTTTTTTTGCTTCTGATGAATTGCGTTATTTTTAGGGATTAACCGGCATTTATACGAACAATTATGATGGGTCAATGAACAGCAAGCAAGGTTTTCCTGTTTTCAATACCATAATATATGCGAATTATATAACGAGGAAAGATAAAATTGATTCTGACAGTCTTACGGATGAGGATATTCAGGTCCGATTTTAAATTAGTATCAATTTTTTTAGAAAAACATGTTTGAACAGAGAAAAAATTTTGTAATTTAAATTTGGTATGTTCAGATTATTCGGCAATTATCAAAGGATCCACAGATAGCTGAAAGAATATTTGCAAGCATTGCTCCGTCGATTTACGGTCATGATCATATCAAACGGGCCATTGCACTGGCACTATTCAGGTGATTTTTTGTTGAGTTGAATATTTTTTAATGAAAAGAGCAGAATTGATTAGGATGAAAGCAGTTCCTTTTCTCATTTGTTAATTTTTTGTTATGCAGAGGTGAACAGAAAAATCCTGGTGAAAAGCACAGCATTCGAGGTGACATCAATGTTTTGTTATGCGGTGATCCTGGTACAGCGAAATCTCAATTTCTGCGCTATGCTGCGCATGCTGCACCACGGGCTATTCTTACTACGGGCCAGGGTATAGTTTCTCAGCTTTTTCTAGGTCCATTTTTACATTTCTAGAAGGTGAAAAAAAGACGAATAAACAAAGAGATTTTCTCATTTTTTCTTTTAGGTGCCTCGGCTGTCGGTCTTACGGCATATGTGCAGCGTCATCCCATAACACGAGAATGGACACTTGAAGCAGGTGCAATGGTACTTGCAGATAAAGGAGTTTGTCTCATTGATGAATTCGACAAAATGAATGATCAGGTTGGTTTACTGATTCCCAAGTATTGTTTAAAAAATATTATCATTTGAATCAAGAACAAATCCTGTTCTATTTTGGTCAAAAAATAATTATTATATAGCTTTCTTAACATGGGTGTTTCAGGATCGCACTTCGATTCATGAAGCAATGGAACAGCAGTCAATATCTATATCTAAAGCTGGCATTGTTACATCATTACATGCACGCTGCACTGTGATTGCTGCTGCGAACCCAATCGGTGGTCGCTACGATCCTTCACGTACTTTCGCTGAAAATGTTGATCTTACCGAACCGATTCTTAGTAGATTCGATGTGTTATGTGTAGTGCGAGATACGGTGGGTGAATTCTAAACTTTCAGGTTAAGTAAGCTGAATTCTATATAGAGGAGTTTTAGGTAGACCCAGTAGAAGATGAACGGCTTGCTAATTTTGTTGTGGACAGTCACCGCAAGCACCATCCAAATACAAAAGAATTGCAAGAAAAAGAAGCGAAACAAAGAAATTCACAACAGATATCTGTAAGTTATTTTAGTTACTATTGCTTTATTTTTCCAAGACAACCAGACAATTACTTGGGGGAATTGCAGAGTTAGTCCGCTGATTTAATGAAATGTGTTTAATGGTGGTAACACACTTATACACAGACTACTGTTACTTAAAAACTGGTTTGCAATGTTAACTATTGAACCATTGGACCAATTTTGTTGAATTGAGGGGCGTTGGAATAATTCACGTTAATATTAGATCTTTTTATCCAGCAACCAGAAAAAGATCCAGCCAGTGGTTTAGAGTTGATACCACAAACGATGTTGAGGAAATACTTGATGTACGCCCGGGAAAATACACATCCGAAATTGGAACAGTTGCCGCAGGATAAAATTTCGAAATTTTTTGCCGAAATGCGCAAAGAATCCTTGGTATGTTTAGAAAAATTATTTCATGACCACTTTATGTTTTCCCTTTGCAAGTTCATGTTATAACATGCATTTAGTACTTGGAGACTTGTAGAGTTTACTTGTAGACTTGTACAGTTCCGCACAATGAATTCTCATCTTCAAAGTTATTCCAGTATTACATTTTTCAATTTGCTAAAGCATAGTTTGGAAACAACGGGATATGAATAATATTGCATTAAAATTATGTAGAGGATGATAGGACCTCATGCCTTGTTCTGCTTTTTTTCGGAGATTTTTCTACATCTGTCACACTGAACACAGAAATAAGTAGAGAGATAGCTAGCTAAACTGAAGGATATTTCTGCTCGTAAATATACAAAATTTTCTCTTCATTATTAATAAATTTAGGCAACAGGATCGGTTGCTGTAACAGTGCGTCATGTGGAGTCTTTGATTCGTCTAGCCGAAGCTCATGCTAAAATGCATCTTCGTTCCTATGTATGCGATGAGGATGTCGATGTAGCTGTACGAGTAATACTTGAATCATTTATTAACACACAGAAAGCATCTGTTATGCGGCAAATGCGAAGGGTTTGTAACTTGTGGTTTATAAACTCTAATATCATCAGAAAAGTTCACTAAGGGATAAATTAAAAAATTCCTTAATATGAAATGCATGATCTCTTTCCTACTCCTTTTTTCTTTTCAGAATTTTGATAGGTACATTTTTGTCAGTCGTGACCACAATGAATTACTGTTGTATCTCTTGAAGCAATTAGTTAGAGATCAGTTGCATTATGAACGAGCGCGACATAAGGAGACAACTCTGTCAGCTATCAGTATTCCCGAATCTGATTTTATTGAAAAAGTATGTTTGTTCCTTTTTCTTTGTCTTCCTGAGCTGAATTTTTTGCGAACAATAGATTGTATCTGATAAGCCCATTCACAAATTGGAAGACTGAATTAATTACCTTAGATACTCTGATTAGGGAAACTGCGACTTGATACTCTCAGCTGTACATTTAGGCTCTGTTATAATGTTGGCTCTTCTCCGTATTTGTTAGAAGCAGAAGATAGCGTATCACTTTTTTCCAATTGGTCAGAGATATGCCTAGTATGCTTAAAGCTCTCATCTAGTTTGAGTTTTATACATTAGTCACTCGAAAATGTGACATAAATTTCCATATAAATAGTCCGTTTATTAAGAACGGAATGAAGGTAATGGATATGAAGTTCTGCTATATTCAAAAAATATATTGTGTGGTAATAGCGATAAAATATATTGATGTTGAACGAATGCTCATAATCGATTTTTATTTTTTCATATTTTAACGTTTATCTTTTAAGAAGTAAATATTTTTAATATTTTCAAGTTTTGCTTTTTGTTTCAGGCACAACAAGTTCACATCGAGAATGTGGAGAATTTTTACAGGAGTCAACATTTCCGCATAAATAATTTTATATATGATTCCAAGCGAAAGCTAATTGTACACAACTTATAAATGATAGCAGTAAGTTGTTTTGCCAACGCCAATTCATCACTGCCTTATATAATTTTGACACATGTTGTCTTGCATCATTTATTCCTTCTTTCTATTATCTTTGATTAAAGGAAGCATAATATTGGTATGAGTATTGAAATACCATGGGCAAAAGCTTGAATACTTATTTGTGCATATATTTATTTGTTATGCTTATTTGATATGCATATCTTTGGTTAAAATAAGCATAATATGCATATGCTTATATTTAACGCATTATTGTAAGTTAAAATTGAAAATACTTATGCTCACGAATTAATTCTGCTCAGGTTTGTCTCGGAACTTCATTGGCTTAATTTTCTTCCCTCGTGATTGGGCATTCTGTGTAATATGTCCATGTCAGTTATATGATATCTGCTTTGGGCTGACTTTATTCGAATACTTTGCAGATATAGTTCGGTTTTGAAATAGTGCGACAGATGTGGATCATTACAAATTTTTAGATTGCTTAACAAAATTTTGCGATCTCATCACGATCAGTATCACGATTTTGGATTTTCAAATTTTGAAATATAATTTTCTGATTCTAACTAGCTGACGTCGAGAAAACGGCATACTGTATAAATGTGGAATTGGATTTTGTTTCCAATTGCATACACTTTATATGAGAATATCTGTTTTTAGCATTTTAAAAGCCTGCGGACTTCATACTGAACTTTTACTCTTTAGTGTAAGATTTGATGAATGAACCTTATCAGCCGGGCTCATTCAATTTTCTCATGCTTAAATGTTCATACTTATATTTGTTCAAACTTATACAAAAAAATTTTTGTTAGATTTGCTGATTATGTCATTGCTATATGATAGTGAAAGGCTGCGTTTTACTTACCCGAGCACAACAATTTGCCCATCATATTTGTTTATTCTAAGATACCTAAGTAATTTGAATTATCTTCCAAACAATATTAATGAGTAATAAGGGATTTACTGGCTGTGCTTTCTAGGAAATTTCTAAAGAGTCAAGTATAAAATCTTTCTCTGCGTTAGCTTAGTACTTAATCCTTATTATAAATGCGAAGATACTGTTGAATTTTCTCTAAATCTTGTCTCTAATGTGAATGTACTAGTTAAAGCCTGATCATGGATATTATAGAAAGTATTAAATGGATACCTACTTTTCTTCCGCTCTAAACCTTTTCAGTAATCCTGGTATGTGAAAACTGGGATATTATTATTTGTGCTTTCTCCTGTTTGCTGTATTTCTGTAGCACTTTTCTCGAACTCTTTCTGAAACTTTTGAGATTTCGAGACTGCTGACTGTGCTAGCGACTGAGAAACTAATACTTAACTGAGTTGGCATTAATTTTTCGGAGTAATCAGAACACCTTCCAACAGATAAGACGATCACAATTATTTAATCATTTGGTGTAGCATGTTGATCGTAACAAATATGGGACAAGTGGAACGACGGTCGACTAGTAAACATTTCTCTACAATTCTCTTTGATACTCGACAAAAGTTTATCGCGATGTACGTGGCATTCTTCCGTACTTTTCACCAGCGAAAGCGGTTGGCTGTTGCACATATGAAGCAAATTTTCTTACTGAACAAACATGTTAAAATTGGTTGTTTCAAACAACGTGTTAATTTATCAAGCCCTATCGTCTTCGGAGGATGCCGCAGCTAATTTATTTCAGAGACATTCGATGATAAATGAATCACATGCTGGTTATTTCATTTCTTCTCCTTATAAAGTCCAGCTTTATGTCTTTCACAATAAAGAAAGGAATATTTCGAGCAAATCTCTTCTACTTGGTACAATATTACTGACAGAAAATACTTGCAGAGTGTCGAGCAGTTTTTTACTGGTTAAATGTTATCACTAATGTCAGTATTTTAACCTTAATTCCTAACTGTTCTACTCAATAAGGAAGCGAAGGATAAACGGCATCAAATGATCATGATTTATTGTTGCTGGATTATCATAATTTATTGTTTTTGGATTCTGCCGTACTGTTCTGGGCTCTTCTATATGGGCAAATAAACCATTGCGAAGAAACCTATCGTAGTGTGTTTCCGTTTGGTTCTACACCTCAGGAATCCTCAGTTTCTGGACACAGCATCGAATGCCTTAATCCTTCCCGCACATCTTCAATTGTTTCCGACACTGTACATGCACGGTACGTTCAAATTCATCATCCTTGAATCAGCCAACCGGTCTGAACAATTTTAATAAAATTTCTCATCTCCTCTATCATCGCTGCCAATGCTTATTCCCGTTTT